TACTAACTCGTCACGGGCTAGAGTACTAACTCGTCACGGGCTAGAGTACTAACTCGTCTCAGGCTAGAGTACTAACTAATCTTAGAGTACTACCTCGTCACGGGCTAGAGTACTAACTCGTCTCAGGCTAGAGTACTAACTCGTCACGGGCTAGAGTACTAACTCGTCTCACACGTGGGGCGGTTGCCTCCTTACGGCTGGCCGCGTCTTCTGCCTCCTCTGCCACCGCCGCGCTCTGACCTTGGTCGGGTCCCTCGCCGGCTGCGACGACGGCGGCGGCGGCGGCGGCGGCGGCGGCGGCGGCCGCGCCGTCGACCCGACCTGGAGGGTTCGGCCGCCGGTGGCTTTGACTTTTTTATCACTTCTCTTTCCGGGGCGGCCAAATCGCCGTCGCGAGTCTGGGCGCGTGCGGTGGGCTCCCTCGCCCGGGGCCTCCTCGCGTCGCGTAGCCCCAACCCCGTTCGCTAAGTGGCGTTGACGTGGGGGTGGCGGGGGCGAAGGAGGTGAATGATGGCTCCTGGCCGGACCGGACGGGCTGGCGGACGGGGTGCGGAGGTGCCCGGGTTGCTCGCGAGGTCAGGAGGCCCCGCTTACAAATCACCGATGCGGTGCGGCGGTGGCGGCGGCGTCAGCGGTGGAACGAGCGCTGAGTTCAAACGCGCGGCCGCGTACCATCGTCAGCTCGGTAACAAAAGCCACGGAGCGAGGTGCCTGGACGGCCCGGGGCGTCCAGAGCTCAACTCCACGTTTCAACCGGGGGGGGTGTGTTCGTGTGTCGCGGATTCATGGCCTCCGCTGGGGCTCCTCAATGACTGCGCACGACACGCGTGATAGAATTACGTCGAACTCTCTCGAGTCCGCCAGTTGCGATGACCGCATGCTGCCGCGTATTTGCCACGGACCGGGCGAGCGGTTGGGAATGGCCCGGTATATGACGGCATGGCCGCATCTCGCCGGCATTTCCCCCCCCCCCCCCCCACAGCACCAAGCGTGTGTGCCGGCACCGTTCCGAATGGTTCCTATTCATAGACAACGCCGATTCATTTCTCGTCGTCTTGAGTGGCTGCGTAGAGCCCCGAACTGTTCCTGTGCCCCGAGCGGCAGAGATTTCAGAAAATCCACCGCCGCATCGCGAGGTCACCGCTTCCCAGACGGCGGGGGGGGGGCGGGGGGTGTGCATCAATACGCTTGGAACCCACCCCCCCCCCCCTGCTGTGACGCTCTCCGACCCTGCGCTCGTCCTCGCTAGCGTCAGCCCGGGATGATAGCGATCCACATCCCGAGCCGCTTTGCGAGGTGACGAGGCGGGGTGACGCTGTCGTCGCCGCATCGAGGCCGGAAAGGGGTTTTTTTTATTTGCTTATTATTGTAAAAATTTGAGCAACGCTTGCTTGCTTGGATCGTTATCTGGTTTTGGATCGTCATCACGAGAATTATCATGACCCATGTTACAGGACGGACGTAGAAAAACACATTGCCGGCGTTCAACCTTGTTTGAAAAGCTTAACAAAAAAAGGGGGGGGTGGGGGGACAGGCGAATTCTCCGTTTGCGTAGCCTCCGGAAGGCCGTGCCCTCGAGTGCTCAGGCACACATTTAGTCTCCCTCCGTTCCCTCCTCTCCCTCCACCGTGTCTTCCGAGCGGTGGACGGCCGGTGCCAGCGATCGCTCTCGGCCTCGGCGGCTGCGTTGCGCGGCCGCGCATGATTTACGTTGATTTACACCGCGCGGTCTCACGCCGTGCGATAATTATCTGACCCGCTCGCGGATCAGCAACTCCGGAACCGCCCACTCTCCTCCCACCGCTCGCTGTTGCAGGCGCCGCGAGCAAGCGAGCGAGCTAATGCCTTGCCCAGCGTACATGCGCGCCCGTGTTTTAAATTTACGACTTTCATCGTACGGGGCTTTAATTCGTTTTTATGTATTTTGTTTCAACTCGCCACGACCTCGCTCACATCATGCCCCAGGTTGGGGCCCACGTCCGGCCTCCCCTGCGGGCCGTTCGGTATCAGGTCGGGCCCACGTCAGGCCTCCCCTGCGGGCCGTTCGGTATCAGGTCGGGCCCACGTCAGGCCTCCCCTGCGGGCAGTTCGGTATCAGGTTGGGCCCATGTTAGGCCTCCCCTGCGGTACCGCCATCCGCCCCGTGTGTTCCAGCGCTGTTTGTTTTTGCAGCGGCCGGCGCGCCGCGTCTCAAATGTCACGATCGAAAATTACCCCGCAGCCAAGCTCCGTAAAAATAATAATAATAACAAGTACAAAGAAATGTTCAGCTGTAAAAAATGATGTCTGTCAGCATGTGTGTCTTCTGCGCACAAAGTGTGTTCCAGCAGCAGTGATTTGAGCGGTAATCTCTCGGACTACTCCCTTGGTCTCTGTCAGCTGAACTTGCTGCAGTGCAGCCCTCCGATGTGTTCTCCGGTTGTGCCGCGCGTCGTAGCAGTCGCCGTAGTCGCGTTACTCATCTCTGCCGGGGGGGGGGGGGGGGGGGAAGATTCGATTATCTTCCTGCCTATGGCGCGAAACGTCGGACGCCACGCCAAACAGCGCGCGGCGCGAGCAGAAGAATACTGCGCTGGTTTTGACCTGTCCGAGTCTCATCGGCAGGGAGCGACCGCTGTTAAACAAACACCCTTGGGTTGCCTGGGCGTTACTATAGGCAAGAGCATTCCTCGAGCACAGTGGGGCCCGCTGAGCTGTTAAAGTTAACGACTGCTTAGACTTAAATATACAGACGTGGAGGGTTACCTTGGGATGGTTCACTCCGCTCGAGTTAAACTACGGAACATCCAGTCGTTTAAAAGCAGGGTACAAACCGGCCTACGTGGTTTTGTACATATACATATCCTTTTGGTACAAAATCATCTCCAAAGTGCTGACATTTAGATGCCACGCCAGGGGCTCATTTAAGGTTGAGATGACCCTGAGAGAGGCCCAGGACCAGTTCAGATATTGGTCATCGATTTTGGCTGTGATTGGGAATCCGAACTCGCGTCGCCGTGTTCGGAGCGCAGTGTGCTAACCACTGCACTACCACTCCCCACACACACACACTCACGCGTGCGGTGCCTTTCACTAAAAGTCTCCAGGCTCCGTGAATGCAAAGAATGAAATGTTAACGAACGAAAGAAAGAACCGGTTGGCTGAATAAGAGCCAAAGCGAAGCAAAACGAATCGGAGAGTAACATTTTTTTTTTTTTACAAGAACGTCGGATTCGAGTTGAGATTTGAAGACGCCCAACGCTGTCAGGAGCCTCTGCCCTCCCCAGGTGGCTGTGGCGAAGAGGAGATGGTAAAGTACGCTCGCAAACAAGAGAGGAGAGGCCGTAAGGTGACACCGCGGGCACGATGGTCTTTGATGGCCTCAGTCCGCCCCTCTCATTACTTTCCAAAAATAGTTGCGAGTCCCTCCTTGAGAAGAGATGAACAGGTTTTCTGGGGGCATTTCCTCTCTCGGCGCCTGTGTCTTCTGTCCTTGCGTGTCTTTCTCACACTGCGCCTGTGTCTCTCTGGCTCGCCGCATCGTCCCCGTGCCTCCGTGTGTCCCTGTGTGTCCCTCGACCTGTACCGCAACGGTCATCTGTAATCGTCGTCGTCTCTGTCACTCGCCATCATCATCATCATCAGCAGCAGCAAGATCACCATTATTACCAGCAGCAGTATCATCGTCACCAACAGTATCATCAGCAGCATAATGGCAACGATCGTCGTGATCAATATCATCATCATGATCATAAATCGTCATCATCACTGTCAGTCACCGTGATCATCATCACCACGAAACATCATCATAGCCAGTGGCATTTAGCAAGTGACCGGAACACAATGGCTTGCTGTTGCACAAACACCTCAAAGGCATCTATTACACCCACATTCTCTACGTGGAGACGCGGGGGAGAGGGGGGTGGGGTGGGCGGGGGGGGGGGACTTCCCTTTTGACAACGAGCCGCACGCACGCCGAAGATGCGTATCGTCATCTCTGGCTCCGTGGGGACCGCCGGGTCTCCCAGCCGCCGCAGGTGGAGGAAGGTGACATTCGTAATGAATCAAAACAAAGTTCGGAAAGGGAGGAGGGGGGGGGAGCAGAGTTGGCGAAGAGTGGTCGTGGTGTGAACGGTATTGTGCAAAGCAAGGTATTCCGATGATCCATTCAATTTGCCGAGGATGACGCTCGCCGATGGAGCTCGGGGCTGACGCGAGAGCGGAACGCCGCCCTACGTCGTGGCAAGGAGCTTCATCGGTGAGAACGGATCAAGCGCGCGGGCACGCGTGTGAAGAGTCATGACGACGGCGATGATGGTGTCTGTGCCAACGTGACAGCCTTGTCGGGCCGCGGAGAGTTAATGACGAGAATTTGGGCACGAAAACTACCGGCACGTGGCCCAACCCAAAAGCAAACATGGACGGTGGTATTGGCTACGAAAACTTACGTTGCGAGTTATCGTGAACATCAACAGCTGCCCGACACACGTATCTCATTCATGCATTGTGTCCACGCGACCAAAACTATCGACGATGTCGTAAACCCATCCAGACACACAGACATGCACAGAGACATATTCGAGATACATAGACACACGTAGAGATACATTGAAAACAAAGCACAGGAGGGCGATTGTGGCCATGCAACATCAGCATTATGGATCACATGTTAAACAACTTTGGTCTCCGCTCCTTCAACAGCAGCGGCACTACACGAACTCTCCCTGCTCCTGGAGCCCTCTCGTCGTGGCAAGCAGCAGACCTCGACGTTGGCATCCTGCACACAATGCCATCACGCGCACGGTTAGATTAGGACCGTATCGTACAAGATTTAAAAAAATGTTGAGTGTGTAACTTCCGATTAACATTTCCATTTTTCTCCCCCACCCACTCTCTCCCGCTCTCTCTCCCGCTCTCTCTCTGTCCCGCTCTCTCTCCCGCTCTCTCTCTCTGTCCCGCTCTCTCTCCCGCTCTCTCTCGCTGTCCCGCTCTCTCTGCCCGCCTTCCCTGCTGCCGCGCAGACGATCGTGCAGTCGGGCCGGCAGCCGACAGTGCTGCAGCAGCTGTGCCTGCTGCCATTCCAGTACTTCAGCGAGGCTCGCCTGCGCCGGGTGCTCTTCCCCACGCTGCTCTCCGCATGCCACCGCAGCCCCGTCAACCGCAGCACCCTGCAGACCGAGCTCAGCTGCACGCTGCTCACATCCTTCATTCAGGTGTGACGCCGTGGATCCGTATTCATGGCAGCGAGGACGAGGAGGGTGGAATATCTCACATTAGCGGTGGAAGAGGGGAGAACCCCGTGTAAATGTGGCTCTCCCTCCTTCCACCCGCCACCCCTCCCTCGTGTGCCGTGCCAGCCTTCATAGGTGCTCGCTAGCAGCACTTACCCAGTTTATTGAAGGCTATATACGGGGGATATACACAAACGTATATACAAAAACGTGCGTGCGTGTGTCTTTGTGTAGGAGACGATCCAGGCTGCGTCTTCTACCACACGCAAGTACCCAGGTAAGGGACCCTCACCAGCAGCTCATTTAACCCTTTAATTCCCAACTCACTGTCTGCACCCTGGCATCACTTACCCACCCACCCAGACACTTCTTTACCCACTCAACAAGTCAATGATTCACCCACTCACCCACCCTTTCACTGCTAACCCACCAACTCATCCACCCTACTCGTTCATGCACTCCCTTACTCAGCTATTTACCTACACATCATCAGCTCACTTACTCACCCACCCACTCACTCATTCACCCACCCACGCATTCACCCACAAATCTACTCACTGACACACTTATTCACCCATCTACTCACCGACCCACTCTGTCGCTCACCCACCCACGCGATTCACCCACTCAACCAACTCGCCTGCGCACCCACCCGCTCATCCACCCTCTCGGCAAGCTGCTCGCCCTCTCGCTCGCAGACACTGGCGGCGAGGACGACCTGGACGTCTACAGCCGCTTCCCGCAGGAGCAGTGGGAGGGCGCGCTGCGCTTCTTCAGCGACGGCGCGGGCGACGCGGCGAGCGGCGAGCCGGCAAGCGGTGGTGGCGGTGCCGGCGTCCCGCCGCACTGCGAGCGCTGAGTTCGCCGCCGGCCCCACCGGCTAACCGGTGAAGCGACGGTGGAGTCCCGGCTCCGGCCTCGGTGGAAGACAAGAGTGTTGGCGGCCTTAAATTAGTACCTGGTGCGGTGCGTAAAACGTCGTCCCTGGGGAGACAAAGACGGCCGGGCAAGTGGGCGTGGGGCTGGCCACACCACCCCCATGTGTATGCTTTGCCACCACCCCAACCGTGCGTAGGGTTGCCTCCCGTCCTTGTGTTTCCCAGGATCGTCCTCTTGTTTGGTCGCTGTCCTGGGAAATCTCTGAAGTCTTCCCCGGACGCCAAAAGTCCAGTTTGTGTATTTGTCAGTTGCGTAAGAAGACACCACGACTACAGTACACAACGCATTTCTGTAAGGCTCAACCAGGGCACCTGTACCCACATGCTCACCTACTCACTCACCTGTATACCCACCAATTCCACTCGCCTACACACTCACCTGTATACCCACCAATTCCACTCACCTACACACTCACCTGCATACCCACCAATTCAACTCACCTACCCACTCACCTGTATACCCACCAATTCCACTCACCTACACTCACTCACCTTTACAGTAGTTCACCTCTAGGGTTAGCCACTTGTCCTGGTTTTGCCAGGATCGTTTTTCTCACGTTGTTGAAGCAGCCTCTGTCCCGGGAAATCTGTCCGTCTTTCCGGAAACATTGAAAGTCCACGCGTTTTTTTGTCAGTTGTGTCATTGTACCAGTAATAATATTTAGACCGCAGTGGAGATGACGCGCTCACAAGTAGTTCCCACCTCTTCCGGCATTTTGCGACATATTCTTCTTGTTGCCGATGATACGTGCCGGTGTTTTTGTTCATTTGGTGGTGGCAACCCTAGGCTAAAATGCCCGGTAGGGCATTTAACAGGGCAGCGTCCAATAAAGCCGCCGCTGACATGGGGACACGATGGCCCAGCACCGGTGCACCGCTCCGTAGCCTGGGTCGTGTCTCTGTCTCCCGTGTGCGAGCGTGGGAAAATTCGTCTTATTCCTGCTCGAGGCGAACATCGGCGAATATCTGAGCCGCGTCTGGGCCTCCCCTGGGTCGGCTCAGCATTAAATGAGTACCGGATGAGGCCGTGCAGTGAACAGCACCACCCGGGGAGACGAAGGTGGCCAGCCCGCTCCCCGCGTGCGCCGCGCAGGCCTTCATAGGTGCTCGCTACCAGCTCTTGCCCCTATGGGCTGCGTAGGCTACACTGGGAATCTTTGTATTTGCGTAAGGTCAATACGGCGGTGTGTTGCGTCTGCGCGCCGCATTGCGAACCCGCGTTTTCCCAAGTTCGATTCCTGCCCGTGATGCACCGCACGGAGGTATGCATTTAAAGTCCGAACTTAACCCGAGCTGCGTCTCCGTGGACTCGCCCTTAAAAACAAAAAAGAGAGAGCAGCCGGTGCGGTGAACCTTGGAGTACTCGGGGAGACGGCGGTTCGGTGCGTGCGGTGCCGGCAACAACATCACAGCCTCGCACGCGCCCTGCGGGGACTTGTAGGTGCCTCGCTGACTGGGCATACCTTTTCGGTCACCCCTCGGGCATCGCTATCTCACCACGGGTGTACACACACGTGTGTGTGTGTACACACGTGTACACACGTGTACACACACACACACGTGTGTGTACACACTGTTCCTGCTCCCAGTAAGCGACGTGACGACCGCGTGGTGGAGGCGCCTGTGCCGTTTGCGAGCCGCACGCTGTGGGGAGGCCCCTCTGCGCATTTTGCTCGGCGCGAGCATTCGTGGTTACAGCAAGCCAGTAGCATAACAATACCTTTGCGTATTTATCTGAGTTAATTGCACTTTAGCGAACAATTAAAGGGGGGGGAGGGGGTGGGGGTCGTCGTCGTCGTCGTCTTGTCGGGCGTTTGCGGTAAGTAAAATGAAAAAAAAAACCCCGAATGGAGCCGCGTTTTGTGACGCGCGGACACGGCGGCCCCCTCCTACCCAGCGTGCCCGCACCACGGTCAGCGGCGAGCCAGGACCCCGAGTCCAACTCCGTCCCAGCGGCCCCGAGCTCTTACGGACGCGTTTTCTTTCGTTATCGGCAGCGCGGTGCCGCGCCGATTCTGGATACCCCCCCCGGGACACCTTCGAACAAACTCTCCCCTCCATCTCGACCTCTCGTCGTCAAAACTTTTGTTGTCCGTGGCGGTGTCGTAAAGGTTTAGACGCCTTGCTACTCGGTCCGTGCGTGCGTACGCACGCGTGCGTGTGCCCATCATTTGAACACGACCCGTGGCTTCCAGTTAAAGGGATTCAAAATTTTAACTATTACTGTGGTGATGGTGAGCAGGGCTGCGCACGGATTTTGGCATCGCTCTGGCGGATCGCTCCGTGCGCCATTGGGAGGGATCGCTGGGTTAATGGTGATCCCTGTGCCTGTGCAGCGGTATCGCTGTCGAGTTTGCAGGCAGTGCAGCTGCAGTGAGGCGTACGTGACGGAGAGGGGTTAGGGGGTGAAAGACACCCCTCGGAGTGGGTTGGACAGCCCAATTTCATTCCTTACACCAGGGCCCATTCTAACCACGCCACTACGCACGCTACCAATATAAACCCATAGGCAAACATCGAGAGCCATGGACCGACGTAGAGATCAATAGACACAGAAACCCATAGACTAACACGGACACCCATAGAGTAACTCGGAAACCCATAGACTAACACGGACACCCATAGACGTACACGGAGACCCATAGACTGACACGGAGACCCATAGACTAACACGTACACCCATAGACTAACACGGACACCCATAGACTAACACGGAGACCCATAGACTAACACGGAGACCCACAGGCTGACACGGAGACCCATAGACTAACACTGAGACCCATAGATTAACACGGAGACCCATAGACTAACACTGAGACCCATAGACTAACACTGAGACCCATAGGCTAACACGGAGACCCATAAACTAACACGGAAAAAATTAGACTAACACGGAGACCCATAGACTAATACGGACACCCACAGACTTACACGGAGACCCATAGACTAACACGGACACCCATAGACTTACACGGAGACCCATAGACTAACACTGAAACCCATAGATTAACACGTACACCCGTAGACTGACATGAAGAGTTCGCGCAGCTATCGAGAGTGCAGGCCCTGCAGCTGCACGTTGCCGCGAGGATGGATTCCTTCCCCGTGCTCCAAACGGAGGAGACACGTGCTAGGAGGCACTTATTGTACATTGTTTGTTCGTCACCTTATATTAATATAATAAAGCTAATTTAACAGACTTGAGCGACTGAAACAATCTTCAGAGGCTTCTAAACAGATGTGCTGTTGTTGTTTGTACACGTGTATGAATATCTTAAGAGATGTTTCAATGTAAAATAAAACAATTACCGCAGTGTTCGTTAAATCGAAGCCGGTGGGTTTTTTGGTTGGTTCTCAAGAAGAGTTGTCACGAGTCCTTGCATCGGTCGCGATGTTTGGCTCATTTCTGTTTCAAAAGAACGACCAATTTCACTCCCTTCTATTTCCACATCTCCGCGTCAAAATGTGCATTTCCCCCCTTGCACGCGCCCTGTTCAGCCTTGCCTCCTCGGCCTTTTCCCACGCCCACCTCCCCCTTGTAAACCCAGCAGCAGTTTAGAATTTAAACCACGCGAGCCTTTGCACTGGTTCTTTTTATTTTGCCGTGCCTGGGACTCATCGGCCAGGATCGTGCGAGCCAAACGCAACTCATCCCTGTCGTTCTCAGGCCACGTTATTTACCAAGTTTCCCTCGGGGGGTGGAGGGGAGGGGTCCTCCCGTGCAAAGAGCGACAATGATCATCATCATCATCGCCGACGCCGCGGCTCGCGCCGGCCTCGAGCGAGCTTTATTCACAGCCCCTGCAAACGCTCAGTCGCGTTTTGAGTCGCTCGCCTACGAAGTTTACTTTTGCATTTGTGTTCGCCGCATTAATTCGCGCAAATTAACCCAAGTGCCCATTGTCGAGTTTTATTAATCCCAACAATTGCCCATTCTGCACCTCTCAGCTCGCACCGCCACCACTCGTCAATTCCCTTTTAATCTCCTCGCCTCTATCATCCTCCACTCCATTGCAGTCACTGCACCCAAGCCACCATCATCATTCCACATCCCTAACATCACACTTTCCATCCCCCCCCCCCATCACTCTCTTCCCTGTCTCCCCATCACCACCATCACTCTCCTCCCTCGCCCATCACCCGCTCCTTCCTGTCACCCCATCACTGCCAGCAACTCTCCTTGCTCTCACCTCCATCACCACCATCACCTCCCTCTCACATCACCTTTCCGTCCTGTCACCACCCCATCACTCCCATCACCCCCTCCAACCTCTCTCCATCACCTTTCCTTCCTTCCTTTTCATTGCCCCCCCCCATCACTCTATCCTCCATCCTCCTCCCTCTCCCATCACCTCTCCTTCCTCTACCCCCCTCTCTCCCCCCTCGTCTCACGTGACTGAGCGATGCCGAATGTTGATAAGGAGCCGCCGCTGGCAGCGAGCGCTGTCTAGACGGCGCGGGGGGAGGGGAGGGGCGGATGGAGGGGGGTGGAGAAGGAGGGAGGTGGGGGGGGAGGTGCGAGAATTCCCTAAGAGACGCGTGCACGCGCGTGGTACACAGACCGCGTGCACGCGCGTGGTACACAGACCGCGTGCACGCGCGTGGTACACAGACCGCGTGGAGGTACATAGAGACATACGCAGAGATACAAGCACGGTCACGTGCGGGCACATTCACACGTGGGTGAAAAGGGGGTATAGAGAGTGCGTGGAGGGGAGTAGAGTGAGATGAGAGAGGTAGGAGAGCGCGTGGAGGGGAGTAGAGTGAGAGGGGGAGAGGTAGGAGAGTGTTGGGAGGGGAGTAGAGTGAGATGAGAGGGGAGAGGTAGGAGAGCGCGTGGAGGGGAGTGGAGTGAGATGGGAGAGGAGAGGTAGGGGAGTGTTGGGAGGGAGTAGAGTGAGATGAGAGAGGTAGGGGAGTGTGTGGAGGTGAGTAGAGCGAGTTGATAGGTAGGAGAGTGTTGGGAGGGAGTAGAGTGAGGTAGGAGAGTGCGTGGAGGGGAGTGGAGTGAGATGAGAGTAGGAGAGTGTGTGGAGGAGAGGTAACTCAGAGATTCGCGGGCTCTCATCCAGCGCGGTGTCAGAGGCCAGGGGGTGGGAGGTGCGAGCCGATGAGGACTTCAATCGCAGCGTGCCCACGCTTGAGACCACCGCACGCGACCACACTGTGCACTGCTGGGGTGGAAAACTCGGCTCCCCCCCCCCATTGTTTCGGGCTGCCACGCCCGGAGGTCGGATAGAGCCGGCGACCTCCAGATTGGCAAAGTTGCCTCGCCGTTCCACCACCGCCGTGGTGATGGTTTCAAGTTTCATTTATTAGGTATGGCCCTGTGAGCCACGCGGCTCTTGAGCCGGGTGCAACCGCAACAAACAAAAAACATGAACAGAGAAACATCTTAAAGCGACAACGCGCAACAGAAACATCCTGGGATAAACGAGCAAATCTCGTGAAGGTTGTTGATGTGCGCCGAGATCGTGAAGAGAGGCGGGGATGAGAGTTGTGTATGGGATGGAGTGCGTGGACAATTTACCCCCACGCGCAGAGACGCAACCATTTGCGGTACAGCCGCATTCAACCAAAGACAAAGATCCCCCGTATAGTCTGCGCGGACTGTTGGGGGCAAGTGCTGTTAGCGAGCTGCACCTCCGAAGGCCGCCACGGCACACGAGGGCGGGGGTGGTGTTGGGTGGCCGGCGACCACCGCCCAAGCCGCCAGTGGCTATGTTTGCGCACCGCACCAGGTACTAATTTTAGGCCAAGTCGACCTAGGGGAGGCCCAGAACCGGTTCAGATCATCGTCACTGGGTGTTGGTAGCCGTGCGCGGGAGTCGAATTCGGGTGGCCGGGTTCGTAGCGCAGCGCGCTGACCGCTACACCACCGCTCCCCATCGCTCCCCCATTGGCACGCAGATCGTCACCGACGAGCTCAATTGACACAATCGTATAGACACGTTTACAGACACTCTCAAAGACGCATTCACGTACAGACACGTTTACATACAGACACATTTACAGACAATCTCAAAGACGCATTCACGTACAGACACGTTTACATACAGACACTTTTACAGACACTCTCAAAGACGCATTCACGTACAGACATATACAGACACGTTAACGGACAGACACTCTCAAAGACGCATTCACGTACAGACACTTTTACAGACACGTTAACGGACAGACACTCTCAAAGACGCATTCACGTACAGACACTTTTTACAGACACGTTAACTTTTACAGACACTCTCAAAGACGCATTCACGTACAGACATATACAGACACGTTAACGGACAGACACTCTCAAAGACGGATTCACGTACAGACATATACAGACACGTTAACGGACAGACACTCTCAAAGACGCATTCACATACAGACACTTTTACAGACACGTTAACGGACAGACACTCTCAAAGACGCATTCACATACAGACACTTTTACAGACACGTTAACTTTTACAGACACTCTCAAAGACGCATTCACGTACGGACGCATGCAGCAGCACAGACATTCGCATGCAGATACCTTCAGTATAGCGCCCCTTGCACATCGCTTCTAGAACCTTACACCAGTGGACCTTTCCCTGGGGTGCACTCCACCCCCTGGGGGTGCTCCATGCCATTTCTGGGGGGGTTGCGATACGGGGCCAGATTTTCTTTCGAAGGTAAATAATCGAATTAAGCACGGCCACGTAATCACAACTTTGTCTCATCAAAGCCGATGTATTTATGAACGTTGTACATTTTTTAACGATTGAGGGGTGGCAAGGCTGCAATAAAGGTTAATGAGAACCACTGTGCTAAACAATCATCATCGCTGCTTGCACAGAGCAAAGATTCAGCCGAGGTTGGACTCCTGCTGCTGCTGCAGACATCCACAGACAAACTTACGGTTCTTGTCAGGTGACCGCGTACCTGCGAGTGGCTTATGTTTGTGAACGTGTCTGTATGTGAAGGTGTCTGTATGTGAAGGTGTCTGTATGTTAACGTGTCTGTATGTGAACGTGTCTGTATGTGAAGGTGTCTGTATGTAAACGTATCTGTATGTGAATATGTCTGTATGTGAAGGTGTCTGTATGTTAACGTGTTTTCATGTGTATGTGAACGTGTCTGGATGTGAACGTGTCTGTATGAGAATGTGTCTGTATGTAAACGTATCTTAATGTAAATATGTCTGTATGTGAACATGTCTGTATGTTAACTTGTCTTTATGTGTATGTGAACATGTCTGTATGTGAAGGTGTGGGTATGTGAAGGTGTGTGTATATGGACGTGTCTGTATGTGAATGTGTCTGTATATTAACGTTTCTGTATTTGTAAACCCATGATTATATCTTGGGAAACCTCTCACCTGTATCTCTCACGCAAATCAAACAGTTATGTCTACCTGACCCACATTCAAATACAGACACATGCACATACAGACACATTCACATACTGACACGTTCACATAGAGATACATTCACATACAGACACGTTCACATCCAGACACGTTCAAATAAAGACATTCACATACATACACGTTCACGTT